ATTTCATCTTGATGTCATTGATATTGTTCTTAGATATTATTTATTATTTAATTAAAAATAAAATAAATTGATATGATTTAATAAATAAACCTATAACAACTTCCATAAATACTTTTTTAAACAATTTCATTTTCTTACTAATAAAAGAATGGAATTATATTATTCCTTTTGAAAGGGGCAAAATATACTTGCACTATGGTGGCATACTAATGCGCGACGGCCCTACTACACGAGAAAAATTCTGCCAAGCCGAGCAAATGCCGTCCTGAGTGAAACATGGGTGGGAATTTCCTTTATACATTTAATTGGATTCTAGAGCAACTGTAGATCAGTTTTCAATATTTTTTTTCGTAATCTAACGGATTTAATTTGAACTTTTTTAATATTTCATTAATGAAAACATATTTACATTTGTCATTACAATTTATTCTGAGTAACTTTTGCATTTATTTATATTTTTATTCTTTAATGTTTTGTTGTCATTGTGTAAGACTGAATCAAATGAACTATTTCTGTAAATAGGGAATTTTTTAAAATATATCAGCGTTGCGTAATACTAAGTTAATACCTCTACCCATATGTAACACAGCGTAACGACACATCGAACTCCCTAACCCTCCCTTGAACCTTCAGTATTGTATGGGCCTCTTCAACGATCTTCATTGAGTAGAGATCTCTCTCCTCTATGACGATCTTGAAAAGTCTTATTTGATCGACACTAGCGCGCTCTCATTGGATGGATTGTTTGGTTCATTCGTTCCGATTCGGCCAGAGACTGGTTCTTAACGAAAAGAAAGGTGTATGTATTGCAATGTAACGTCCGTTCCCTTCTGTGTCGTCCATCGTTGCAGTATCAGCTTAGCTGGTCTCGGTGAATTCAGTAATCGCTTGTTAAATTAATCCAACCAATTTTAATTTTTGGCGTAATTTCGTGAACGTAAAATAAAATGCTGACACGAGTAATCCTCCCAAGTGCTAGGAGACTTGTGCAGGCCAACGGTAAGAACTTTCTCATACTGTAAAATTGTTGCAATCGAAACTGGGATTTTGGTTCTTTTAAAGATCTGTTATTAAATATAACTACTCGCGTTCTTCGCGATTACTTCCTAAAATTGATGTCTTGCTTTTAGTTGGCGCTACTTCTCGAGTATGTGCCTATCATGCCCCGGCTCATCCCGAGCCCACCGTAGGCGACCTGCCAGTTCCTCAAGGGTCTTGGCAGGCCGATTATGAATCCAGACAACGAAAGTACAACCTTCATTTGTTGATGGGCATTGGATTTACCGTGGGAACTCTTATTGTGGTGAGATATATGGTGCATATGATTTCAAATTTTATTTACATAATTGTCTCACCAATTGTTTTCTTTCAGGCCAAAGCATCAGGACTTTTCCATTTCAACTATTCGGTCCCTCAGCTTAAGGATCAATAATGAAACAAGTGTCATAATTTCTAGAATTTATCATTAGATTAATGTAAATAGTATTGTACTGGTGAATATAATTGAAATAAAAGTACCGCTACTGTTCATTTTTGTATTTAGTATTATTGTGTGATGTGTGTGTGAACCACCGTTTGTTGTTTGGGTATGAGGTAATATAAGCATACTATCTACTCTGACTCTTTGACTTTTCATTATTTAATTTCTTCTCAACCGTTATTACAATCCAGTATTAACCAAATGCACTTTAAGCATGGCAGTGAGAAGTAGTTTAGTTTATCTTTACTCATTGTAATGAGTCTTTTACCACAATAAAATGTTAAGTGGTTTGAATTTTAAGTGGGCTACTAATTATTAAGTTTTCTCTCTTTTTCAAAATAGACTGACCTTAATTTCACACATATTGGTTTACTTGCTGCACTTGTTTTGATGCCAGAGGAAGGAATGGTAAATGATTTTGTTAGTTACTAACAAACCCTATTTTTGGCAAACATTTATTCATATGTAATATTTTAGTGGGCAAACAAACTATGGACTATAGACATCTTATTAACAAATATTTCTTGATAAATTAAATTTATTATAGGTTACTCAATAATTTAGAGATTATATTTAAACTTGTGCCAGTGCTGATGGCCAAACTTTTTAACCAAGCTCTGTGAAGTCCGGAAGTTAAGTAGTTCTAGTTGGGTTCCTGGTTACTAATGACACTGAGCCCCTGGCCAATAGCGGTAAAAGGCAATTGCTGTGACACTGACTTGACGTAAGACAGACATATGTGCGAGGGGTATAACTCCTTGCATTCAATGCTGTAAAGGCTTGAGGGATGCTGTTACACGCTCATCAGAAATCCAAGTATATCTGTAAAGAGTTTTCTGTACATGTTATGACATGGCCAAAGTTATGAAGTTTTTTTCGTATATATACCTGTCAGCTTGGTAAGAATTCTGCGTAACCACTAATTTTATGATGCAACATTTAACTACTTAATCAGTTATTTTGTCTAAATTGGCCACCTTAAATAATAAAGAAGGTCAGTGACTACCCAAAGCCTGATTTTAGAAGAGCCAATTGAAGTTAAATAAGAACAGTAAGGCGAACAAAATTGAATTCTGAAGTAAATATTAATGTAAGCATATAAACTCATTGAAACACACATTAAACATTTCTTATTTAAATTGTAGCCTATTCACATGATGTAAACAGACTT